AAGGTAATCAATGAAAACGAATCATCAAATGAATAAACAAATTGCATTATAACTGTTGGAGCGTATGATGAACTTTTAATCAGAACTGAACATTGCAATAAAAATAGCTGCACTATAATCCAAGCCTTTCTAGGTTTAAAAAAAGTTCACGTATGGACATAATAGAACTAAAATAAATGCAATTTAAACAAAATAATAGTAAATTCAAATTCAGTGAAGCTACCCTCTTGTGCCAAATGAACTAAGTGTGCAACCAGTTTCGCATAACTTAGGGGAATTTAGGGGAAATTTACTCTCGTAATCGCCGTTTATCAAGCTACATTCAGGTATGTAAAACATCGCATCTCTTATCCTTAAGCGCTATTTCAATCGTTGAAAAAATAAGGATGAGTGAATACATACCGTTCATCAGAAATTCCAAGGTAGAGGGTTAGTGTTTCCCCTCGGATAAGAACAGGTGGCAAGCCGAAAGAGCGCATCTTGACATTTGCTTTATCAGCTATTGCTTGATGGAATCTGTGGCAGTCTTCGATGGATTCATCCTCATCTGAAACCCCAGAAGTAAGAAAAAGAGAACAAATAAACTAGGATACATACATGAATAAATACAGACAAGCATTTAGACCGATGACAATCTTACAATTAATCTTTAATCGTTTGGATCTTCTTTAATAAGTAAATTATTTAACGGAAAGTTTCTTAACATACAAAAATGAAAAGGAAATATCTTTAACTTGATAACTTAAGTCTAAACAGCATTTAATGTACCTCAACATTAAAAAATAGAGTTAATATGTAAAATGCAATCAACGTAAACAAGAGCTTCATCGACTGAGGCAATGAGGTTCAGACAATAAAATATTGTAAAAGGGAAAGGCCGATAGGCAAAAATAAATGGAATAAAGAATTGTAAAGAGCGCTCTAAATAGTGCGAAAATTATATGCCATCACTTCAGATAGTAAAAGAATTTAGTTCTTGATCTCACCTATGCAGAGATCTGAAGAGACTCCGGTTTTCTTATCTGAGAGTTGAAAACAATTTGAGAAAACCGCACTAGTCGGACAGTTATTGGCTATCTGTGTGCAAACTCGCATGCCACCTGGGCCACCGGTCAAGCCAAAGAAAGCAGGTTGAGTGACGCATTCAAGATGTACAGGCGCATATGTGGTGGTCCCCTGACTACTTAGTCCACTAGACAATTCGAAGACATCGTCGTCTTCGCGTAAAATACGAAGAGAAGGGCAGAAATAAATGCAAATATACTTTGAATTATATAATGAAAATAAACTGTTTACATTTATGTGAATAAAAAAAGGCGTTTATGCTTGATAAAACATGTGTTTAAATATAGTTACTCAATTTAGAAAGAGCCATTTCTTCTATCCCAAATCAAATGCTCTAATTTCGAGTCTGTTTTATGCTGAAACTTTGAAAACGAGATAAAGGTAAATAAAAATAAACTCAGATAATGTAGAAAAACTGTGTTTACTTAGGCATAATGTAGATGAGCCCAAGAACTCAACATAGGCATACAAGCCATCTGTGTAATGGCGTTCATACAGAGCTACTGAGATACAATTTTTGATTAAATTTCTTGTGCTGAAGAGGAAACACAAGAATAGATACAGAACCAGTGAAAAGCCAAAAAAGTGATCTGATGGTAGAAGACTAGTTACGGAAGTTCTTCGAATCGACATAAGATATAAAGAAAAAGAGATGGTTATCATTCGAAATTGTATGAAACTTTGGCTTAAAAAAATACTGGCAAGGAGACGCAAAATAGAGGATATACTTTTATTCTGTTCTAAGCTAAAGTCCATATTAAAAATGATTAATGAATGGGTGGAAAATAATTTCTATAAAAATAGTAGTCAACATATTCATTAGCTTGGGAAGCAGGGCTATGTTAAATTTAATGGAAACGTGAGACCTACTCACATCATTGTATAAAAATTCCATTGTGCGACCCAAAATGAATAGAGATATTATTAAAGAGAAGCTAGTTACAACATATGCCTTGCTAGACGATTCATTCCGTAGGAAAAAATTAGCTGATTTTCTTAGCCATGACACAAAATACTTGTAGTTCGATTGAAGACACTATCGCTAAAATATAAATATTTGTACTGCTAGTTTGACCTCGTTTTCTCAACTTGGAGGAAAGAGACCTTGTGGAACGTACATAGTACTGCGTCCTCTGCCGTAGCATTAATGATTTCCAACATCTAGCAGTTGACTTGGTACATTAAGAAAGAACGCATGACTAGCCATTTTCCACGTCTCCTTGTTGCCCCAACCAAGTTGCTAAAATGAGGCCAAACCAAAACTATACAGCAATAGGAGACAACAACCAAACAAGAGTCCACACCATCTTGTTCTTCATTCTTAGATCTAATTGTTTTTAAAAGTTGGTTGACCTCGTTGTCGCAACTTGGTCTTGTTTTCATGCGGACTTAGTAGAACGAACCTAGTCCGAAGTTGAATGCCATAGTAATTGTCATAATTCCCAGCATCAGACAGTTGATTTGGTACATTCCCAAACGTTTTGACGGCATCATAGTTGGCATCATCAGTGAGCTTTGCCATTCTCCACACCAAGTTATGAACTCGTCAGAGACAAATGAAGTCAATCGGTCAACCATAAATATAAGAAACGGATCTGCGGGGTCGCCCTGACAACAAGACCAAGTTGTGACAACGAGGTAAACAGACTTCTATATATAAGAAAGGAGACTGCGACCATACAAGAGGCCACAATATCTTGGTCTTCATATCCTTAATTATTTTTAGTTTACCTAAACTAGATAGCTAGTAAAATTCCGCTGACCTTAAGTTCAGTGAAAAATAAGCGTGGCCAAGCTTCCTTTCTATTCGGGTAATATGGTTTATTTAGACTGATTGTTCCTATTTGTGTAGTAGTAGTTGTACCTACAAACTTTTCTTGGATCTGGTTAGTTTAGCCATGTTTGTCACAACTTTCACCTAGGTAAATAAATTTAGAATTTTTCCACAATGATATGAGTAGAGCTGACGTTTCCATTAAATTTCACATAGACCAGCTTTCCCAGGTGTTCTTATCCAGGGTGGACCGTAGTTTCGATCTCGCATAGGTCTAATCTATACCCCCAGCGGGAGTTGAACCGTGAAAGTGCAACATGTGAGCTTGACACATTAACCTCACGGCTACATTGCCACGATTGCCCTTGGTCACAGAGCAATGTGAATTTAAAGGAAGACCATACCACATTCTTTTGTGGGATTGTTGATGAAGCAAACGTATTTTTAGAAGTGGGTTGACCTCGTTGTCGCAACTTGGTCTTGTGTTCAGGGAGACT